GCAGGTGATGTTTCGTTTTACCTGCATCACTGGGTTTATGCTTGAACTATGGATTTTTTTTATAACTGTACAGTGATTTGTTAGCTGTTAATATTCATTTTTTTTTCAAACTTTCAGATATTATTGTGTCTGGTTCTAGAGATGGATCCTTTCGTATTTGGGACTTGAGATGCAAGTCCACTGCTAAGAGTAGGCGGAGAGAAGTTAACATATGGTAAGTGACTTTTTTCTTTTTAATTTGAAAAACTAATGAAATTACTCGTTTAGTTATTAGTCCTTAATGAACTTTATATTTTATTTAAAATTAATTTGTTATCATTTCATTGCTAGTTCAATGGGTGGTGTCAACGGAGCACATGTTTCATCTCAAGCACGACGAACTAGAAGGGGAAAGGTTAGTTTCTGAGGATCTAGGTTCCTTTGTATATTGCAAACTAAATTTTTCCAACAATTCTTAATTGTCAGGCTGTTTCCATGAGCATTACGTCTGTTCTTTGTCTCAAGGACCAGGTTTCCGTAGCAACTGCTGGTGCAGTGGATAGGTTAGTTGGAAAATTCATATTAGTGAACATTTGATTTTCCAGTGTTTTTACCTGAATTGATAGGTTTGACTAATGAATTGATTTATTTCAGCGTGTTGAAGTTTTGGGATACCAGAAATTTGAAAAATAGTGTTACTCAGACGTGTCCATGTCCTCAGTCAACTGAAAAGGTTGATTGAAACTTTGCTCTAAAGGGAAAATATATTTTTCTTATACTTTCTGTGAGTTACCAATTAATGGTGTTGGATAAATTGGATCATGATTCTTGAGTGTAGTAAAAGATTATAGCCTCAACTTAGAATAATTACTACAACACCTTAAAGTTAAAATGTAAATGTGGTAGGAAATGTCATGTGTATTATGTCTTTTATGTTGCTAGGATATTTATCCTATTTTATCATCGTATCAAGAATTATCTTATTTATCATGATTATATTCTATTCAAGATTATTCTATTTATCATGTATTTTTCTATCAATTTATTTTATAAATAGAAAATTATGAGAGAGATTAATCAAGCTTTCTAGAATTATTTTAGAGTTTAATTCTAAATTATTTTAGAGTTTAATTCTGAGGTTGATAAAAGATTATAGCCTTAGAATAATCACTACAGTACCCTTAAAGTTAAAATGTAAATGTGGTAGGAAATTTCAGGTGTATTACGCCTTTCATGTCATTAGAACAATTTTATATATTGAAAAACTTAAATGATATTGTCTAGAGTCTCATGACAGTCTTCTTCGTTGTCATTTCAGCAAAGTTTGCACGGAATATGTAGTTTGTCACAAGATGAAAGTGGACTTTTTCTTTCGGCTTCCTGCATGGATAACCGGTATCATCTTCTTTCTTCTAAGTTAAGAATATATAGCAAAATATAAAATCTACCGTTTCTTTTTGCAGAATTTATTTGTACAACACCCTTCAACTTGAAAAAGGGCTTATAAAATCTTTTTCTGGGTGCCGAATTGAATCATTTTTTGTAAAGGTGAGAATTGCACTTGTCCAAATCTTCTGCATTCAGTTTCTGTCCTAACTCCTAACTGTCTGATGTGTGCAATTTCAGTCCGTAATTAACAATGATGCGTCAAACATTGTCAGTGGTTCTAGTGATGGAAACACATATGTTTGGAAGGTTTCATTCTTATAAATTACAATGAGATATTAGGTTTGATGCATATGTTGCAGTTTGGATATAATTTCACTGAACTTTCAAAATTCAGGTTGACAAGCCTCTGGAAGATCCTACTATTTTGAAAACTCACGATGGTGAACTTACAGCAGTTAACTGGTAATTTGGAAACCTGTTGTGGTTTTATTTCTCTTTTACATTAGTTTTTAATACTGTTTATTTGACAGGTGTAGCTCCGAATTTGGCAAATTCGCAACTTGTTCTGATGACTTTACAGTAAGCGAATCCAACTGTTTTCTTATTAATTTAACTTAAAATTTATTTGACTTTAATCCAGACATTGCATTTTATCTGCAATGTCTTTCAGTTTAGTTGTGTCTATTAACCATTTGTTTAAAGAGACCTCAAATTGTTTCTTTCATCATTCCAATTTCCCTCAATATGCCATTTTCAGGTTCGGATATGGAATAAAAACAGTTACGTCTCTAGAATACAATGTGCATCTACACAATGTGCATCTGCGGTCCCGATAAGAGGAATGGCAATTCCTAGTACAGAGTGCTAAATAATGGCAAAAGATACTCTAAAACAGACGAAGATGCTTTCTTACCCAATCATAAACTACATCCAATTTCCTCACCCACTCCAATCACATCACCTAAAGTGAACTTCTTATCTGAAGGCCACACGAACCAACTTCCCTCCTCAGGATTTGATCCTAATGCAGCTTCTCAAAAAGCCCCTGAATCTACTTTGAAGAGTCCCTCATCTGTATACTAAGTAAAACATTTACTAAAACTACTTTTAAAAAGGTGGAAAGGAAGTTCTACATAAGCTGAAACAGGAGAACACATTACATTTAAACGAACTCATATCACTATCAACAATTTTTCAGAACATAGATACAAGAAAATTTGTATACTTTACACGTGGAGAACACGATACTGTGAAAACTAAGACACTTCATGTGAAGTGTGTTAAATTCTGAGTGACATAGTGACACACCGCAACTTAATATAACATTACTGATTAATGTATAGCTCTTGTTTCACAAGGGAATAGCATCCTATAAGACCTGTTGGTTCCACTAAGAATTGTTCATGAAATGTACCGATTCTTTTGGTAGCAATATCGATTCCAAGATCCTTGAAGTTTGGCAACCCCTCTACTTGAATACCATCTCCACATATGGGAACTGGTTTCCAATTATAAAGGATCCTGAAACTCTAATTGCCACTCCATCTTCACCGTGAGCACGGCATTGAAGCTTCTCAACATGCACCAACTTTTCAGGAGGCTACTCACCTACCAGTGTGGCTCTAATACTTGATAGAGATGTAAAGATGTTACTTGGACCACAATGTTGTTTTTCAGAGAAACTATAAAAAGTACAAGTATAATGTTGTTAGTGGTTAAGGTTTTGAAAATCTTTTTATGTATTGAGGTGTGATTTGCAATAGGTTCAATATAGTGTAATTACATGTTTTTGGCAAGTAAAATATGTTCGTAATATATATATATATATATATATATATATATATATATATTTGAATTAATAAAAAAATTGTATATTTTCTCATTCTCTTATCTTCTACTTACTTTTTGAAACATTTTTTATTTTTTATAAGCTCAAATCATCTTATTAAGTAGATCCAAGATTTTTTTTTTTAAGTTTATTAGTTGTAAAAAAAAATTAAAACACCAATTTATTTCCATCTTAATGGGATGGGATCTAATTTTACTTACAAAAAGATAAATTAAACTCTAAATTAACATAAGTGTTAATGTAGAACTAAAAAAACTATTATATTATAAAAATAAAATTATAGCGGCCGAAGGATACACTACTAACAAATTCAATTTTGAACTAAATTAATCATACATTATAACCATATTAATTAAAGTGAATTTATGTATAAAATATTTAAAGTGCATAAGAGGAGGCTATATATAGAATTGGACGAAAAATAAGATAAAAATGAATAATATAATGTGGTACTTGACATCCATAAATTGTTACATTCCACCACTTAATCACTCACCAAGGACACATTACAATATTAATCACAAGCCTTTACCTATGAAAAAAATCTGTATGTGTATATATTTTTGGTGCAAGCTGAACAAATCAAATCATCCAATATACTGGTACACCTTAAAGAATGAAACCCTCCAGCAAATCTCTTCAAGTATAAAAACAAAATAAATATATATAACCAGCTTTTCTAGTCTCAAATCCCAACTAGTATAACACTGGCATCAGAAAAAATAATCCAATCATAGCACCGAACATGAGCTAAATATGCAGAACAAAAATCCCTGCATAAAAAGAGTCAAGAAAACCCCTTTAGGCCAACCACATCGGTAAAAGGTAATTGAGAAAAAAGACAGAAAAAAAACACAGTTGAAGGTGTGTAATAATGTAATTTTATAACAATAAAAAACAGAATACAAAAATTCCAGAACACTCTTATGTAACCCAAATATTAATATTTAACAGTTACCATAACAGAAGCTTTTCGTTATGATTTATGTCATCTTAAGTAATTGGCTTCTGTCCTAAGTTACGGATTTATTTTTAGTACCATTCCAAAAGGTCTCTTAATAAAGGAATCTTATGTGTATATAAACTCATGTCCATCTCTTGTTTTATGTAACGTGGGACTTTGTTTGTACCTAATAAAGGTCACCCCCAAAGATTTACTATTGTTAGTTAATAATACATATAAACATTAGCTACATTAACCATTGTGCATGTTTCTATGTTATTATACAAGTTTGTATAAATCCTACTAGGTAAGAACATATTCCCGCTCAATTCTAGTATTGCACTTTTCGAAGGTCAATCAAAACAATACTTTGTCTCTTGCATGTGATAGCCTAAGTTCCTCAAACAGAGTCCATAAAACTGCGGAAGCAGTAGGTAGAATTGATTTTATTGCTCAGAACTTCACATATAACAGGGATGGATGAACCCTTCGGCATAAAAGCATGGCTTGAAATGAAATAAAAAGCCGATTAGAAAGAGACTGTGAGGAGGGAACCTAACATGGATAAATCATTAGTTCTGCAGGAACTGCGTCAGCATTTGAAATCCCCTAGTTTTTTTATTTCTTTTTTCCCGCTTAACAAACTCTCTCTGTTTGTTTGGTATTGTTTCTTTAATTCTGATGTATCGATTACCACAGTATCAAAATTCATTGGCAATGCCCTTTGATCTCCAAAGTTCTTTCTGCAAGAAGGATTCTCCTTTCCTCAGAAGTTGTTCACAATAACTTTTTCCTGACGCATTAGATGAATTTGTTTCTCAATTCTCACAGCAAACTCAACAGAAACTAACGTATGATAATAATTTTCTCTGTAATACCTAGTGTCATGGTAATCTACAGACAAATCTAAAAGTTTTGCTGAGGGTCAAACAAACACACTATTAAAAAGACTTTAAATTTAACTAAACTTTCCAAAATTGACTTGTAAGATAAGGTTTATATCTACTGTATACTTGTTTTATCTCTAGTTAATGGTGAGACCTCTAACAGAAACATTTAAACATCTTAAATAGTAGAAAGTCATTCAACATCAGAATTATGGTGGCGGGAAACTGGCACCTATTATTATTTGTCATGGTTATTCAGCCAACCCATCTAGATACCTTCTAGTTTGTTGGCAATTATAAAAGATTAAGGTTTGGTTTACGCAGGCAAATTGATATACATGAAAAAGAAACTAAAATTCCTAAGATCTTTTCTACCATAAACAGAAATAACCTCAGTAGTGTTTTGAATATGCAAATCATGAACAACAATTTATTCCCCCTCTACCCCATTCGAAACATAAATAGATGATGCCAGCAGAAAACATCTAGCCGGCTAGTCCAGCCTACCGTTGGAAGAAGATCTTCTGTAAGAGGAGCTCGGAAAACCAACTTATAGAACATGTATGGTCTCACTTACCCGTCTTAGCAGGGGATGAAGACAGCTTCAAAAATACCAAGACAAAAGAAATCATGCCTCTGAAGAATTTTTAACTAAAGAAGAAAACTTAAAACTGCTCCAATATGGAATGGAGTTTAGGAACACGCCGACGAAACAATGGTTCAAGTCGAAATGATGGATCACCAAACTGCCACCCCTGAGCATCGTACATCTCATTCCATGCCTGTACTATCTCTTCAATTTTGAACCCTGTCATTAAGAAGAATGGATTGTTAGCTATCTATAATCCTAAATTATTTATTTTAAAGGAAAATAACATTTGTCATCTCATACCTTCAAGCGCTGTTTCATTTGAGCAGTGATTCTTTACAATGAAAGCAATATCTGTTCCAGAAGTTCCAGCTAGTTCAAATTTTTCAACAGCAACCTCCAAACATTCCTCCCATGTGGGAAGGCCAAGCTTATATTCCACAACAGAACGTTCATACAACAAGGTTCCCCATAGAAGGTGTATCTGAGATCTCATCTTTGCAGCTTGCTTTGAAGCTTCATCATCAGAAACATCTTTGAAAAGATCATCCAAGCCCATTTTCTCTAACTGTTCTTTATATTTATCTGATTTGGATATTCCATTCAAACGCTGCTCCTCAACCTCCTCCCACATCAAGATGCCTTTCTCCATGCTATCCTCTGCCTTGTTATAAAGTTGTAGAACCTCCTCAGAAAAGCCAGNTTACCTATGAAAAAAATCTGTATGTGTATATATTTTTGGTGCAAGCTGAACAAATCAAATCATCCAATATACTGGTACACCTTAAAGAATGAAACCCTGCAGCAAATCTCTTCAAGTATAAAAACAAAATAAATATATATAACCAGCTTTTCTAGTCTCAAATCCCAACTAGTATAACACTGGCATCAGAAAAAATAATCCAATCATAGCACCGAACATGAGCTAAATATGCAGAACAAAAATCCCTGCATAAAAAGAGTCAAGAAAACCCCTTTAGGCCAACCACATCGGTAAAAGGTAATTGAGAAAAAAGACAGAAAAAAAACACAGTTGAAGGTGTGTAATAATGTAATTTTATAACAATAAAAAACAGAATACAAAAATTCCAGAACACTCTTATGTAACCCAAATATTAATATTTAACAGTTACCATAACAGAAGCTTTTCGTTATGATTTATGTCATCTTAAGTAATTGGCTTCTGTCCTAAGTTAAGGATTTATTTTTAGTACCATTCCAAAAGGTCTCTTAAAAAAGGAATCTTATGTGTATATAAACTCATGTCCATCTCTTGTTTTATGTAACGTGGGACTTTGTTTGTACCTAATAAAGGTCACCCCCAAAGATTTACTATTGTTAGTTAATAATACATATAAACATTAGCTACATTAACCATTGTGCATGTTTCTATGTTATTATACAAGTTTGTATAAATCCTACTAGGTAAGAACATATTCCCGCTCAATTCTAGTATTGCACTTTTCGAAGGTCAATCAAAACAATACTTTGTCTCTTGCATGTGATAGCCTAAGTTCCTCAAACAGAGTCCATAAAACTGCGGAAGCAGTAGGTAGAATTGATTTTATTGCTCAGAACTTCACATATAACAGGGATGGATGAACCCTTCGGCATAAAAGCATGGCTTGAAATGAAATAAAAAGCCGATTAGAAAGAGACTGTGAGGAGGGAACCTAACATGGATAAATCATTAGTTCTGCAGGAACTGCGTCAGCATTTGAAATCCCCTAGTTTTTTTATTTCTTTTTTCCCGCTTAACAAACTCTCTCTGTTTGTTTGGTATTGTTTCTTTAATTCTGATGTATCGATTACCACAGTATCAAAATTCATTGGCAATGCCCTTTGATCTCCAAAGTTCTTTCTGCAAGAAGGATTCTCCTTTCCTCAGAAGTTGTTCACAATAACTTTTTCCTGACGCATTAGATGAATTTGTTTCTCAATTCTCACAGCAAACTCAACAGAAACTAACGTATGATAATAATTTTCTCTGTAATACCTAGTGTCATGGTAATCTACAGACAAATCTAAAAGTTTTGCTGAGGGTCAAACAAACACACTATTAAAAAGACTTTAAATTTAACTAAACTTTCCAAAACTTACTTGTAAGATAAGGTTTATATCTACTGTATACTTGTTTTATCTCTAGTTAATGGTGAGACCTCTAACAGAAACATTTTAAACATCTTAAATAGTAGAAAGTCATTCAACATCAGAATTATGGTGGCGGGAAACTGGCACCTATTATTATTTGTCATGGTTATTCAGCCAACCCAACTAGATACCTTCTAGTTTGTTGGCAATTATAAAAGATTAAGGTTTGGTTTACGCAGGCAAATTGATATACATGAAAAAGAAACTAAAATTCCTAAGATCTTTTCTACCATAAACAGAAATAACCTCAGTAGTGTTTTGAATATGCAAATCATGAACAACAATTTATTCCCCCTCTACCCCATTCGAAACATAAATAGATGATGCCAGCAGAAAACATCTAGCCGGCTAGTCCAGCCTACCGTTGGAAGAAGATCTTCTGTAAGAGGAGCTCGGAAAACCAACTTATAGAACATGTATGGTCTCACTTACCCGTCTTAGCAGGGGATGAAGACAGCTTCAAAAATACCAAGACAAAAGAAATCATGCCTCTGAAGAATTTTTAACTAAAGAAGAAAACTTAAAACTGCTCCAATATGGAATGGAGTTTAGGAACACGCCGACGAAACAATGGTTCAAGTCGAAATGATGGATCACCAAACTGCCACCCCTGAGCATCGTACATCTCATTCCATGCCTGTACTATCTCTTCAATTTTGAACCCTGTCATTAAGAAGAATGGATTGTTAGCTATCTATAATCCTAAAATATTTATTTTAAAGGAAAATAACATTTGTCATCTCATACCTTCAAGCGCTGTTTCATTTGAGCAGTGATTCTTTACAATGAAAGCAATATCTGTTCCAGAAGTTCCAGCTAGTTCAAATTTTTCAACAGCAACCTCCAAACATTCCTCCCATGTGGGAAGGCCAAGCTTATATTCCACAACAGAACGTTCATACAACAAGGTTCCCCATAGAAGGTGTATCTGAGATCTCATCTTTGCAGCTTGCTTTGAAGCTTCATCATCAGAAACATCTTTGAAAAGATCATCCAAGCCCATTTTCTCTAACTGTTCTTTATATTTATCTGATTTGGATATTCCATTCAAACGCTGCTCCTCAACCTCCTCCCACATCAAGATGCCTTTCTCCATGCTATCCTCTGCCTTGTTATAAAGTTGTAGAACCTCCTCAGAAAAGCCAGCATTTGAGTCCTTGCATGCCAATGCATAACACCAGCACAGCCTTGCTTGCTCAAACTGCTGATGCCCAAGAGCAAGATATCCTTCGTAGAAGTCAGGTTTGATTTTCAAGGCTTCTTCATATCTCAATTCTGCTTTCTCGTACTCCTTTCGTGCCAACTCATATGCAGCTTTTATATGCTCCAAGGAAGATTCTCTAGCCCCATCCTCCGAAAAGAAACCTTGGTTCCTTGCCCTGGACATCTGAACACTTCCCCAGTTAAACAGTGCCAAGGCAGCCATCTCTTGAAATTTATCAGCAGCAATTCCAAAAAGTTCTTGAGCATCATTGCTTGCTACCGTATCTTCCATCGCTTCTCCGTACAGCTTCATTGCAAACTCATGAGTGTCTAGATAAGAATCAGACTCAAACCCTACATGGTTCTTGAACAGCCTTGCAAACTGGAGAAGCCAGTCCTCCACAGTAATCATCCTTTTTGCAGCATCTTCATCTCTGCCTTCTTCCGTACCCCTATTCTCAACACCATCATTTTGATTTTCACCATCCCTTTGCACTTCATTCCCATAGGTTGTTGTTCCATCATAAGAAGGTTCTTGATCTGGACTGACCTCAGTAATATAAAGCCTAAACGATGCCTTCTCAGGAGCAGACTTTTCAGCTAACCTTAGTTCATCTGTAGTAGTGATAGTAACCAAATCACCTTCTTTATCCTTATACTTGACAAGAACTCCCTTCAAACCTGGAAACCGATTCCTGGCTATATCCCTCACCAACTTCGCGCTACAATTCACGGGTAACTGAGCCCACCTTATATCTTCTCCAAACACCAACTTCACGCTCCTTGTGATCGTGACAGTTTTTTCTTCCTCCACAGGTTTGATTTCCACCACCTTTTTTTCTTGCTCAGTTGTTTTTGAATCTAACTCTTTTACTTGCTCAATTGTTTTTGAATCCAACTCTTGTACTTGCTCAATTGTTTTTGAATCCAACTCTTGTACTTGCTCAATTGTTTTTGAATCCAACTCTTTTACTTGCTCAATTGTTTTTGAAACCACCTTGCCTTCTTGCCCTATTGTTTTGGAAACCGCCTTGCCTTCTTGCCCAATTCGTTTGGAAACCACCTTTTTATCCTCAACAATCACACCCAGCTTTTCCTCCACAACCACTTTGTCCTCAATTTTTTTACCTCTCTTCTTCTTCAGTTTTTGCGAAGAAGGAGAAGGAGAATGATAAACGGTGGTATCAAAAGCCACCCTTTTATCATCAACAGGGACCCCCTTTTCTTCCGTTGACTTCGTGAGACTCTCGAGAAGCTCCAAAGCGGTGAGGTTATTTGGCTCCATGCTCAAAACAAGATTAACATCCCTTAGCGCCAAATCCAAGCGATTAAGCTCACGATAGCATGTGGCTCTTTTCAGAAGAGCTTTGCTGTACCTTGGAGACACTTCCAGCGCCAAATTGCATTCGTGAATGGCTCGAGGGTATTCCCCGAGACCCAATTGCATGTAACACGTGGCCATGTTGGTATGAAGGTGTGCGACATCTATGTGGTTCTTCGGAAGCAGCTTCAGTGCCTTCTCGTACTTGAGCATGGCGCCTTCGTGATCCTTCTTCTGAAACAACTTGTTACCTTCTTCTCTGAACTCTTGTGACATGTTAATGAACATTGCTGTATCTTCATCGAAAGCCTTGGAGGACTTGGCAGGTTTGGCATGTGAATTTGCAGTAGCCGGAGTAGCGATACCCTTCTTCTTCCCTGAGGGCTTTCCCATTAAGAACCAAAGGGATAGTCCCAATCAAGATTTCAGAAAGAGAAATGAATGAAGGAAGAAAGGAAGAAAATACAGGTAGATGAAAAAGGAGAACTGAATTGAACGGTTGGTTTTGGGGGGAATGAATATCTTGTGCAGAGAAAATTGCGAAGAACACAACTACAGTGATTGCGGCACTACCTACAGGTTAAGCCAACTTTTATTGCATAAGCACTTATGTCTAGGGCTTAGTTTGGCCAAGTCAACTCTTCCACAAGGATAAAAGTTTCTTCGGTTAGGAATATACTTGGAGGTACATGAAAAAAAAAAAACTATTAAGTTTATTTAATTGAAAATAGATTTTGGTTTTAAATGAAAAATAAATTTTAAACTATCATTGGAATACTTATACATACTCGTAGACAAATAAATGCATAGACGAGGGAGTTATTTTAACTAGTTATAATGTTGGTAACAAAAAATATCTCAATTGATATGAATATGGATATTTAACCCTTTTTTATTTAATTTGGACATACAAAATTTCTTTGATTCATTTCATATTTTAAATTGCTTAAACCATTTTAAATTGTCTAATATTATCTCTTGAAATTTATAAATTATAATCTTTTTTCTTATTTAGAATTAAAAAATATATATGTTATTTTATTATTTAGATTCTTGATAATATTATATACTTATGGATAAATTTTAATTTTTATAAATAAATATTTCGAGTACAAATAGATAGAAATAAATGCAGTTAAATTTACATTCATTACCCTCACCAAAAAAAAATAGTTTCTAATATTGAGCAATTAAAATACGATGGAAGAAAAGTATTTTGACAAGGGCCTTTTTCTATATACAAACACATTACAGCTCTTTCCAATAATAAAATATTTAATTAAATTATTTAATAAAATGATAGTAATAACTATAATTGTAGATTAGTTGAATAAAATTGTATGCTTATCAACTATGATGAATGTACCTAATTACTATGTAGTAAAAGTGGAAAGAACAAGTATTTATTTATTTTAAGTTTTAATGTTCCAACATTCATTATTAAAGCATTTCTTTTTTTAAATAATCAAAGTTGGACAATTGTATATTTCTTTTTTTATTGTATTTTTTTAATTTTATAATAATTATCTAAAAATATACTACTAATAATTTATAAAATGTTATAGAATACTAGCCATATTCATTCAACCAATATTTTTTATTATTTCACTTTATTTTAATTCTCGTAATTTTGAATTAATTGTCTTTTTCAACTTTGTTGGCTATTTATGTTATTTGAGTGTTTATGTTTTCTTTTGCATTTATATGTTTTTTTCCTACTCAATCAAGTAGAAAAAAAAATATTTCTTTCCAACTATTCATTTTCTTTCATTCTAGTTTCGAAAACCAAACAAAATGTTAGTTGAGTTTAGGTAGTTAGACAGAAGACACCTGATTTGTAACTGTGGTTGTTTGTTGTAATGAAAATCATTTTCCAAATTAATTATCCAAAAACAAATTTTCTTACATTAAGAATAACAGTTTACACTGCTGAGGTGTGTTTCTGTCTAAGAACTAACAGTTCTGGATATCACAGGGTGACTATTTACGTGACATGTTGATTTTCAAAACGAGAATTCCGATTTCACTGCCTACTCTGTTGTATTGACTTGAGGATACGTGTAACCTGAATCAAAACCAGGAAAACAACCGTGAAGATGGAGAGGTGTCCGTACATTTCCAGCAGCATGACAAAAAACCCACGATTCCTGTCTCCATGGTTTGAGCGATGTCTCTTTCTCGATGTTGCAGCACTCTAACAAACTCCTCTGTACTCAAACTTCCATCCCTATTTGCGTCAAACAAATGGAAAACAATCTCAACCACATTGTCCGAGAGAGACAAACCGCAAACCTGTAATTCAACAATCAAACACCATAAGAAGTTGGCATATCGAAATTAGAAATACACTTTTAGCTATAACAAAACAATTTCATAACAACGATTCAATGGTTTCAAAATCCTGCCCTCCATCAGGAGATATCTTATCATTGATGAGAATACGAAGGACTTAAAAGTTACCCCTATAATCATCATCTTTATTAAAATGAGAAAGAGATCAAAAGTTTGTACATGTGATGCAGCCCGCTGAAAATCATCTCTTGTTATCAGGCCTTGTACGTCTGAAAAACTGAAAATGGCCAACGAAAATGGTAATAACTTTTTCCGCAGCTCGGAAAAGTTTTTGAACTCCTCAAATGTTATGCGTACATCCTTAAGCCGTGGGTCTTTGCTCAATTCATCAACCAGTTCAAGCAACCTGCCTAGATGACTCAAGTCAGCAGAAGAAACAATGGAGCGTGCAAAGTCCTTGGCCGATATAGTTTTTCGAGATTTATAATTATAATGAGCAAACTCCAACCTCACAATCTACACACATAATATTATAATTAGCTTGCAAGCGTAATAATTCTAGTGTCAATAAAGAAATGAAACTCATCTGAAAACAAAATTAAAGGCTTAATAACACATTTGATCATTATAATCATTATTAGCTTTTTAGTCCTTCCACTTAGAAACTAGTTTAGTAAATACACGTACACTTGTTTTGGTTCTTGTACATAAACTTTTAATTCATTTTTGTTCTTACAATTTTGAAAGGCTGGAAGTATATATGTAAGGACTAAATAATGCAAGCATGAGATAATGAGTAATTAAACCAAAACTAAATGTGGAAAAGGTGTATTGCAGGAGTTTAAATCCATAAATAGAGGAGAATGAATTTCAAGTTATCCTGTTAAATCACAAGCGCATATGTAAGGCAAAAAGCAACTAGAGACGTACTTCATCATGCAAGTCTCTTATAAACTGAACGAATTTATCATGCTTTAGGCGTCCCCTTCCATCTTTACCAAATAAGTATTCCACCAACCCTCCATTCTCTACAGAAGCATTGCTCTTTCGGCCAGTTCGTCTTCCATCCCCATGGTGAACACCCAATCTGGTATGCGATCGCATTGATTGCATGACTTTCTTGAATTCTTCCTTGTCTATCTCTCTGGAAATAGAGAAAAATAATTAAGGTCACCAGGAGTGAAGAACAAGAAGGGAAGAATTATCACCCTCAAGAACATCAAATCAAATTTAAGATGCAGCCAGAATTATGACACTGTAATAGTATAGTTTTTTATCTCTTTGATTCGATGCCATGAATAACAGTCTATTAACAATTATATGATGCTTAACAAATGACAGTCAACCAGTGTGTTTAGAACTAATCATATGGTTAAAAATGTCATATCTGTAGCTTGTGCAAGAAATAATCACAGTTTACAACATACCAAGTTACAATATGTAAGGTCTATAAAATATGATTGGTAATTCATTGTGTGTGTATTTTAAGTATAATCCAATTCTATAAAACAAATTAATGGATGATCATGGTAATCTCATTAGAATAAACTCTGACTCGTTACTTTAATATGATGTTAAAAAATAGACTTTAAACTTAATTCAATTTCACAAAACTATCTTGTAAGATGAAATTTATCTAATACTTATATATTTAAAGTTAACCTTGTATCTACTTGTATATTTGAAGTTAACCTTATATCTAATAAACGTGAGACTTTCAATAGAATGAAATAAGGTAGCATGAACACTGACCCGTCATTATCTCTGTCAAACATTTTAAATGCTGCCGAGAAGCTTGATTCTGGGAGGCTAAGCAGAGTTACGAAAAACATATACCTGTTCCAGTTAAAATGAGACCATTATGAAGACAGAAAAATAGACGGAGGGTAATAATTCGTTTACTACCTGCTCTATGAACTAAAAAAAGGTTCAGGTCTTCGATAAGCACAAAAACTGTAATGAATACAGATTAGAGAACTCACTCTTTAAAGGATATAAGTCCATCGTTGTCTACATCAAAAAGCATAAAAAAATCCGAAGAGGGACACCACAAATGGCCAGGATCTCTTTCACCTTTCAAGTATCCCTCTCTTACTAGGTTGGATTCTGATGGAGGAAAAACAGGAACAACTGCCCGCATTAGGTCCGAAGGCTTCATGAGTATCTCTCCTTCTGGGGTACGACAAGATGCAAAGTATTCAAAAACCTTAATACAGAAGAGTGGAGTTTGTCAATGTAAAGATTTTTCTTAACAAGGGTCTTACACTCTTGATGTTTGTTCGTTTCAATGTTTGTAAAACTGATTTTAATTGAAACTAGAGTGGAGCCATTTATGTTTTAGATTTTTCACTTCAGAAGCAAGTCAACACTCAAAATCAGCATAAAATTGTCTATTCAACACAAAAAATCATCCAAAGTGCACGTTTGGTTTAATGTATATGATTAAGCAGAAATTACAAATAGTAGTTTCCACGCTTTTTTATTCTATTAATGTGAACATGCCACCTCATGCAAGTATTTTGTGTGAAAACAAAGACAAGAAAAATTGTTTGACCTCAAAATCAATTTTAGATTATGAATCTATTCTCTACAATGGGTCTAAGTCAAACACGTAAACATAATTTGAATAACAAACACAAATCTTAACCTACTTAACTTGAAGGAAAGCTGTTAACTTAACTCTCATTACTCCAGGGACAAACTTAGTCTATTCCTCAAAAGATCCCATTTTAGAAGGTTTTCTCAAGTGAGTGTCAAAAGAAAATTCCAATTTCCAAAACTATCTCTCAAGTAATTTTACTGTATAATTTTAATTAACTCTTACAAACAATATCTCTTAAAAAAAATATCGTACAAATATAAAATTATATATTTTATTAAATAATATAATATATTATAATTTTATTATATTTAAATTAATATTTTTATATAATATTTATTATTATGTTATTAAATAAAATATATAATATATAGTTTAATGTAAATATTGATTATAATTTATTTATCAATTTTTTTAAAAAGAAAATGTATCAATTTGTTTAGTAATTTTATAATTACTAAATATTATATATATATATATATATATATATATATATATATATATATATAGCTTTGTTAACTTATGTAATATCAAATTTAAAAATATATTTATATGTTATGGATTGTAAGTCTTAAAGATATTTGAATAATTTTTTATTTATATTTAGTTAACATAAATTTATGTTTTTGTTTTAAACTTTCAAAATTTAAAATTGAAATGTTTTATTTAGTTTAAATTCAGAGATAAATTTTTTCACATTGACTGACTTGTATATTTTAATAATATGTTTAGTAAGAAAAATTAGATATGTTTAATCAAATATTTCAATGTGTAAATTTTTATATAAATCAACAACCAATTTCATTGACATTTCTTTAAAATTAAAGTTTGATTAAAATGTTTGTACATATTTTTTTCACAAATTAAAAGTATTTATTTATTTTATTTAAGATATATATTTTTCTAAAAATAAGATTAATAGAATGATCCTTATTCACTTCACTTTTTGTGGATATCTTGAATGGTGAGTCTTTTTAATAGAAGACGTTTTATTCTGAGTTTTTCTGATAAGAACACACATGGATTTGGACATGTGAAAGGCCAAATTGAGATGTACAACTTGAAGTGTTAAAGTATTATTTCAAAGAGAAAAACATATCCGGAATTATCAAAATTCCAAAAAAAAAAGAAAAATCAAACTATTTATCTTGAATTCACTATGCATAAATGGTTTTATACAACAATGCAGGTAATGCAATTAGGCAATTGGTCATGCTAGCTATATACCTTTTCGGGTGAACTATGCAACCGCAGGCGCTTCTCATAGTAGAAGAAAACCTTGGCTCTGTACGCATCTGCAATAAAACAGAAAGAACGTTTAATCTTTCAGTACTAGCCGTATGATTAAACGAAAACATTTGCGGGAGAGTGTAAATCATTTGGAAAACAGAAAAGGTACCTCGAACAAGCAAACCATTAGCAGTTTCAGGAACGGGTGATCTTCCAAAGAATGGCAGTGAAGAACCGCGAGGGATATTGTTCAAGAAAACGGAATGGAAGGGTGAAGTGGGTGAGTTGTAGCAATAGAAAAGAGCAAGAGCAGAGGCTACGCCTGCAATAATGGCTGAACCCGAAGCCCAACTGGGATTGCGACGAGGACTGGGAGAAGATGAAGACTGCGAAGAGGAAGAACTCAGCGTACGGAAGCGTTGGGTGAACGGAGAGAACCTCCGGAGAGTGGAAAAGGAATGCATGACGTTCTCAGAGGAGAAAAACAGGGGAACACGGAGAATGCTTTTGCTTTGGTTTACTTCTTTTTCTTCTTTTTGTAACGCCTAGCCAAGGTGGCAAGTCAAGAATCACAGCTAAAACAGATCCTCTCCAATTAACTTTACCTCCATACAAGAGTTAACTAATCACAACCATTCATCGGTTACTGCACAGCAAACAGATAATAAGAGATAAGAAAGAAAACTCAATCAACGGTAGAGATCTTGGGGATAAGAATGCCCTACTGTAGAGAGACAGCAGAGAACATTTTTTGTTATCTGTTTTCTGTTGGTCCAGAGACCGTTATGACTAAGCCCACTGGACTAAGGTTTGTAAGCAACATGATCCACAAGGAAGATGGAAATAAGCCCAAAACGCTAGTCATGCCTGTATGGTATTTGTCTAAAAAGAAAATAAAAAAAAATAAAGTATTGTTTTGGTTCAGAAATCCATATCAGCCCAATTTTATGTTTTATTATTGAAGATTTTCGTTAATGTCTTAATTTGAAATTTGAAAAAATATAGGTGTGCATATAATTGAGGGAAGGGTAAAGAATTAGTAAATAGTCGTTGTTTTTTAGTCACACTGAGCTTAACTTTTTAAGATAAAGTTCTGGATTCAAATTTTATAGATGAAAAAGTAAAATATATAATTTAAAGAAAAAAAGCACACTAAAGATAGTAACGTAGATCTTCTACTATAAATTAAGTATGAAAAAAGTTCACAAAATACTTCATTTTGTCAAAAAAAAGTAAATTCTTCATGTTTATAACCTAATTATAAAAAAGTTTTAGATTAAAGTTAAACACAAAGTTTGAAATATTAGATCCTATTAGTGATATTATAGTTTAATATCTCTTGTATATTATTTTACTACAATCTCTTCCAATAACCTAGGTATAAATATGTATGTATTCACTGTTAAACTTTTTTTAATACTCATTTTCATTTTCTTACTCGTAAATTTCTTGTTTGTTTACCAATTTTAGTACGAGAACATTATTCGTGTAGTTATTTTACTTATTGTGAGGAGTTGAATTACGAGACATTTACATTTATGATAAGAACGCGTTTTAGATCTTATTTTTATTAAGATCTTTCGTTCTAAACTTCATAAATTCCGCTGTGAAACCTAAAACATATTTAAAATAAAGCATCTTCCAAAGCTAAGCGTTAAAACATGTAACATTTAATCTGTTTTAAACTGTTGGTTTTAAGAAAAGACATTACTTTCTTTAAGGAAAAAGAGAGAGAGAGAGAGAGGAGAGATAGAGAGAGAGAGAGAGACAAACTTGATAAACTCGGTTTCCTTTTGTGGCCCTAACCTTATTAATTTACATTGTTTTGGCACCAACCAAATCTGCCACGTTGGCCGATTGGAGCTGGCAAAGATGGCCAAGTTGACATTCCATCATCCACACAGCTCATCATCAAAAGCACAGATAACAGACTTCACCAAGCATTTTGGACCGTATCTCCTGATAACGCCCGCAGCAGGGGTACTCTATTCTCAAAAGTCAAAAATCATTTTTAAAAACTATATTTTATATCTAATTTAATTTCACAAATATTTATATATAGTATAAATTGATTTTATCATTTTAAAAAACTTCTAACAATTAAACTAATGCACTTTTTAGTGGGTAGTGTTTGTATGAAGCTTGAATTTCTGGGTGGGACCGTTATAATAGTGTGCATTACAGCAAAGTGCAAGGAAGGAAGCACACAAGTTGTGGTGGTATCTAGCCAGTAATCAGGGGCCACAATAGGTTTAGCCTTTATGACCAAAGATGCCAATTGTCCCTCTCACATTCCTTCCTTTTACATTTCTCTTATTGCTTTCACCAATGTCACTTCTTCTTTAAAATAACTCTTACAAAACCTAATTTATAAAATAAAGTTTATATACGTACCATGAAATACCGATAAGAGTTAATGGTCATTTATAGGTTGTTAACATATATATTAGTATGTATTAATAAGTCAAACTTTATGTTTTACAGATATTAATAATTGATTATTGGGTTTGATTGCCTAAAAATATATTGAGTTAAGAGTGTTATTCTCTCCATCACCACAACATGCTCCGTACATCTCTCCAACTTTTTTTATTTCCAAAACTAATCTTATATAAATATTTATTTTTTACTTTTACCTATTTTAATCTAAAACCCTAACCTCATTCTCATTCCCTTTTTCATTGACGCAGTATCCCCCACACCCCCACAGCCTCACATAACTTTCCTTTCTCCTTTTCACTGTCTTATTCCTTTCCTCCTCTTAGCTTTCTTATTTTTTTTATTTCTGCTTCCTCTTCTATTGCTTCTATTGTCACTTACTCATGTGAAATGACTAACTCTACTATCATACATGACAACACATATTGTCAAAATCCTAGTCTAAGTCAAATTTTTACAGGACAAATATGAGGTGTCCCCGAAAGCGATATCAGAGTTATTTGTGGTTCTCATTCCATCTCCTTTACAATATTTGGCTCCTCACTGTGGAAAAGGTACTCATGGCACAATGATGAGGATCCCCAGTCCTCTTTTATAATGTCTTGGGTGAAAGTTGAACTGGATGCTCCAATGAACACACTGGACATGGCACATATAGTCTTGTCCAACACAGCTTTCACCTTAAGAAAACAATATCCACAAGACAATTTAGCAGAGGAATTTACAAGGCACACACCACACATAAGGATACAAACTAAACAATTAAGAGATGCAGCATGATGAATGGAAAAATCATAAAATTAGAAATAATATTAACCCGATGTTAAAAGCGATAAGAGAAAAGAAGGTAATGAATGTCATTGACATATAATGCATTGTATTCAGACTTTAGGGTCTCCTTCAATGTGATGCATGTACAACAAAGAGTCACATTTTTCTGCCGAATTCTGGGGTGGGCGTTTGACAAGTGGAGCGTGTTTGCCCTCTCTCACAAGCAGTGACTGAAGCAGCCGAATTTCACTCTCTGCAGCATCTGTAGAGAGGTAAATGAGGGGTGCATTGGCTCTTTCAACCACACGCAAGATACAATCTGCTGCTTGAGGAATAGGATAAAAGCAACTTGGTTTTTTACCATTACTGTAAACAAGAAACAAAATGTATCATCATACATCACAATCACAATCATATCGCACACAATTATTTATTTACTTACGCTTTCAAGATAAATGGTGATTAAGGAAGCCAGGCAAGGCGACGTAGGTACCAGAAGTTGAAGAAATTGTGTCTTCGGAAATGCAATGCAAGGAAGTTCTTGCCGAGGAAGGTTTGGATAAAACGTTGAGCGGTGAGGAAAATGAGACGATTAGGTTGAATCAGAGTCTTGCATCGATGAGCCAATGAGCCACCTGCTTGCATCACTTATTCCTCCTCCACATTTGCATACAATACATCCCCAATGGCTAAAACATCCTCCTTTTCCTCCTATGAAAACCTTGACACAACATCTTCCACGCTCCTCGTTCTGGGCTTCCTCGCTTCTTCATCCCACGCAGTCGCAGGCCTATTCGTAGACAAAAGCCCCAACGATTTCAACTTCCTCAAATGCTCCTCGTCCAGACAACAGGGTTGAGGCAGCGAAAAATAACACAAGAATTTACCCTCGTGCTTGCCATTGATCCTCATGCTAGAAAACTCTTGGAAGGAGATCACAGCTTTGACTTCACCTCCAATGCATTTATTCATGTGCTCCACATCCAATACTCTCTCGTACTCATAATCCACATTGGAGCTGGGAATAACCAGGACCCGGTTAAGGAGAGCCACGAAGAACATGTGCTTCTACAAGCACATCAGATGGTTAGACATTTGCCCCGAGACGCACACTGCAACCAAAATTTATTGGCCTTAGACCTCCACTCGATGGTCCTCCTTTCTTGCAGGTTCTGATCCACTGTTCCACACGAGGCGTTCCGAAAATAGAGAGAGGTGGCAGGGGTGTAGGCATTGATGTTGAATCTGTGAATTGAGGAAAATCTGGTTAGATAGAAGGGATTTGAGAGTGGGAGTTTGGGAAAGAGAGGGAGAATGGCGAAGAGGTATTTCTTCTGAAAAGGGAAGTTGAAGTTGGAAGTGATTCGTGAAGTGAGGGGTTGAAAGTGAAAGGAAGAGGAAGACGTAGGCGCATTCCTATCCTTCCGATGGATAAACTCTTCTACTTCGCCAGAAGATGAATCCCTTTCCATTACTGCCTGGCAGTGACAGATCACCGGAGGAGGAGGAGGATGATTGTTGTGTTAGTGTCATGGTGGAAGTCGAAGGAAGGAAGAAAATAACGTCTTGTCTTGTTAACGAAAACGAGAGTGGATATTAACATGAACATATCTCTTATCCTTCGACAGAGGTAATATTACACGGATGTTGATATCCATTTAAAAATAAAACGGATACTAACATTCGTTTAAGAATAAAACGGATACTAACATTCGTTTAAGAATAAAACGGATACTAACATCCGTTTAAGAATAAAACAGATACTAACATCCGTTTTATGAATTATGTTGGTGAAATTTAAAAGTAATCACAAAAAATAAATATTATAAAAGGGCAAAAGAGGAATGTGGAGGTGTAGGGAAGACTCTGTGGTGGTGGAGGGAGTAACACTCCTGAGTTAATGGTTAATCAATGTGTTTGGTTACCACAAGCCCTATAAATATACGATTGACTGACGTGAAAGTAAAATAACATTGATATATCCTACTTAAATAGAGACCTCTTTATAAAACATATTTGATTTGAGCGTTAGAATGTTTTCTGCAGGTCAAAAACTCATCGGAATGGATTGTTGATTGTGTTCTTGGAGAAGATTGGAAAATTGAAAGATAGCAAAACAAAGAAGGACGACTGACCCTCGAACACCTTCGAATCGAAACATTTGGCGCCTCTTACAATATATATATATATATATATATATATATATATATATATATATATATATATATATATATATATATATATATATATATATATATCCTTGTATATTATAAATATATTTTATTTTTATATATTGTCTTGTATATTTCTAAACTTTTTCAATGACAAAGAACAAAGGTGCTCAAAATTCAAAATGATATTTCGTATGGAGCAGTGTCTTCTTCTCTCCAACTTTGGCAGGAAAATAATAACCATTGCTATGGTCATTCTTTTTTTATGAACATGCAATGTATATTTCATATTTATTTGGGTATGATTGGATTTTTAAAGGAATTTTATATCTGGATGAGGCCAGGACCTTGAATACATGTTACAATGACTGTGGTACATGTGATGCTGCTCAATAATGTGAAATTGAATATGTTTTTGGTTGGAAATTAATTGAAAGTTTAAGTTTTAAATTGAATATATGTGAAAAAGTAAAATATTATATAAAAATAAAAGATCATTAATTTATTGTCTTACGATTTTTTAAGTATTGTGTTGGAAATTCATATTGACTAGAGATAAAATTGTATTAATTTTTATGTGATTAGGTTTATATTTTTCATTGATATTTTAATCTTCTTACTGAATTTCTTCTATAATAGATCCAATAATAATATAAAAACTGATATTTTTTAAATTATTATTTTGAAAGAAATGATAATTAAATTATTATTTAAGAAATATGCATTTCTGAAGTTTTGACTGTGTAGATATTTTTGTGTTATGGATGAACCTTTCATTTTGTTTTTACTTTTTGTGAAGATTCCGTGTTGCTTTACAATCTTAGTAGAATTCTGAAAATCCTAACCATACATTGTTATCAATGGATACATCATCAGAATAAATGCACAACAAAATGAGTTATGTAAGAAATGTGGAGATGTTTTGAAGAAGTGTGGAATTCGAGTGTGTCACTCTCAACCGACTAAAATAAATTCTGCGTCACTCTTTTTGTTCTGTCTGAATTCATTTAGCAACTATATTGATGGTGGCATGCCCTTAGTCTTAGCCAATGAAAATATCAGGACAACTGAACCACAAAATAGACACGAATTTTCCTACGCCTTCTGAAAATTCTTAAATTATATTTAAAATTTTCACTATGTTTTTTAAAATATGATATTTCAAAGATGAAAATAGAAATATAATATTATATAAATATTACAAAAGAAGTAGATGTATATTGTTTACAAACCACCAGTGGTTGTGGTACATGAATATCTTCAACAAATCACATAAATATGTGTCTTTTCCGCATTTTTTGTTGTTGTAGGGAAATTGATATTTTAATGCTAAAAAGCTTGTTCTCGTAATAAAACAAAAATAAAAATAAAATTGTGGTGTGGGTTAATAGCTACCGCATCCTAGAATTAAGAATACGAATTCCTATTCATAAATTACGAATGATCTTTTACATGAAATGACGATAAGTTATTCGTATTCAAAAATTAAAAATCATAAATTAAATCAACTATTTGAATTAAATAAAAAATATGAAATCGTGAAAAGATGGATTACCAAAACTGAAATCGGAGGTTTTCTCCCTTGATTTGTAAGAAATAAATAAAAACTTCATTTTCATATTTGCTGTTTTTCCTTTGGTCTGAAGCAGGTCGGTCACCGTAAAGAAGGAAATATGAATCTTGCTTGAGATGTGTTGTGGTGAAACTAGAAAATAAATTTAACAACTATTGGAATGATTATGAAATTCAAAAAAGCAAAAACTAAGCAATCAAAAGTGATGTTTAATTTATTTATTTTCAAAAAATAGATGAACAAAGAAACTATTTGTGAGTAAGTAAGAAATAGCAAGTAGATAAATAAAATAGAGTCCATATTTGATATTATTTTATTTATAATAGTAATTAGACCGAATAGGTTTAGTCTAATTTAAGATGTATAATTTTGTTATTTGAAAAAATTGAATAATGTGAAAGATGTGATGATTAAAGTGTGTAAAGTAAGAGGCGTTTGGATATGGGTTGGGTCTTTTTCAAAAGCATATAGTAGCTATTTGTCAGTGGATGAAATATACGATACTCTAACAATTATTTCGTGCCCCACAAGTACACCAATATTTAGGAAGTGAAAGGATAAATGGGTCTACCAAAACTGTTCGTCCCATTCTATTTTATCACACACTCAATTCAAATTAAATAAATTTATACAATTTTTAATGTCCTGACTTTTAATTATATTACTCACAATTGTTTTAAATCAATGCATTGGATTATATTATTCAATCAACAACTAAATTTACAACTTTCATCAATAATAAGAAAGGAAACAAAGCCATTCCATATATATATATATATATATGGCCTTCCCATTTACTTTTCCTCTGTGGCTGGTACATTACTAATTCGGGTATGTTTGGTAGATTGGAGGGAGAAAGATAGACAGAAAATTTATTAGTGGGTTTCATAAAATAGATTTTATTTGTAAGCTTAAATATTAATTTTCTTTCTTCTTTTAGTGTGATTTTAGTTTTATTTTTAATGAAGTTCTAATTTTGATTAATTTAGTCTTTTTAATTTTTTATTAATTTTAATTCTAAATTTTATATAATATCGTTTTAATATTTAATGATACGTAAATTGTGTATGACAAGTGTTGTGAATTTTTATTTATTTTTTTTTGTTTTATTTATTTTTTTAATTTTGTTAGCTTTTTCTAATTTTATTTAATCTTAGAAAAACCGATTTAGATGCCAAATCGATATTATATTACATGACATTGGTAATGTTATTGTTAGTGTTAGTATCAGGATTAACGACAATGTAATGTCATGTATTTTTCAATTTTTATTAATTTTGTTCATCTATAATAAATTTATATTAAATTTAATTTTTATATAAGTATTATATTGATGTAACATTTTACTAAATATTTTTAAAATTATTATAAACTAGCTTTAATTATATTATTAAAATATAATTATTTGATTTTTATTACATATAAAAAAATAGAATTAAAATTGGTTTATGAATAATGAAGATTTTTTTTTAATTTAAAATTAACTTTAACTCTAATTTTTTTAACTAAGTCTAATCCTATTTTAAATCAACTCTTAACATAAATATAATAATTATATTCTAATAATATAGTCATTGGTTTAAAAGATACTATTATAAAATTTATACAAAAATTAAATTTAATCTCAACACAAACATAAAATTAAATAAAACCAATAAAAATTGAAACTCAACAAAATTAGCATTGACGTGTCATTAATCTAATTTATAATATTATGTTAACTTGTAAACTTAAAAAATTAAATAAATAATATATTGATACATGTATTAAATGTTAGCATATATTTTAATTATTTAAATCATATTAAAATAATATATTGAGTTGAATAAAATTAAGAAAAATAGAGATTTGATTAAAAAAATAGTATTTTTGTTTGCCCTTTTATTTATTTTTCACAGATTTTAGTTTACTGAATAGTTAAACATTAATTATATATCCACTATTTTCATTCCTTTTATTTATTTCCTTAAAACTAAAGTAAGCATGAATGAACGTGTGATCTAATCTATACCCATAACGCGTGAGGTGTAAGCAACTTTGGTGTTGTGAGCTGTGCCTTTCCTTGTTAAAAAATTACCATTACCATTCCAGATGGCCAGAATGACCACGTTACAACGTCACTGCCACTGAATAACTTTCAGTTTTTTTAGTCAACTATCAATAAATATTTTGTAATAATATATGCTTGAAAACACTAATCTTCAACAAAAAGAATATTCGCCAATATTACAGTGGTAACTTTTTAATTGGGTGGTTCAAAATTTTTTTACCTGACTATCTCCATATTAAATGCCATAATATCAATGATTGTTAATTAAAAGCCGTTTTCAAAATTGATTTAAAAGTAAATGCCAACATTATAGTGCATTATTGTGAAAGCTGGAGTCGAATTAAAAAGCACCCCCACATGGCCAGCTGGCACTGCTTCATAAACAAGTTCCATCATCTTCAACTTTCCTGACCAAACCTTCTTAAATTTAATAAAAGTTACCAACTTTCAGTTTTTCTTTATTTTTTATATTGAGATTTTTACCTTTAACTTGAACAAAAATTATTCCTTTATTCATTTTTATATTTATTTTTCTTATTTTTGTCCGATTTCACAGATTTCACCGAGGATTGTTAATCATTTTAAATTTCATTTAAATAGATTTTTAATATAACTTTTTTTTAATATTCTACTCCTTGTCCTGTTACCGAATTCATAGAATTGGTCATCCTTTGTGCTAGGGTTTATTTCTAGATACTTCTGTCAAAAACTTCAGCCTCTTCACGCCAACTTCGGACACAAGAATTCAAATATTCCCAAATTCCAAAGTCCAGCTACACAACCAACCTTCAATTAAATAAATTAGATATAAACAAACAAATCATATAAAGTTAGTAACATAAATAGTAAAGAAAATAAATAAATAAATAAATAAATAATAAAGACTGAAAGTGAATACCTGACACAGCACGTAAAGCAACTGGACCAACGTAACAGACGGTCAACGGCATCACGGGTAACGGAACGGTTCCTAACGGTGGAACAACCCAGGAGCCAAATGGAAACGGTGGCCATTGACGGAAAATTAACGAACACTGCAGACAGAACCACTGATATGGGTCACGCAATTGATCAACGGAGTCCACATCACCAATTAACTTACGTTAATTTTAGGATTTAATTTAATTAATTTAATTGGAAGATTTTATACCTCGAATTAAGCCTTATGTGTGAATTTCATGATGTATGTTTTCTGAAATTTAACCATGGAAAAGGCAAAAATGAAAATTGGTCCAAAACTCTGCTTCCATAGCAAAAGTTATGTACAATAGCAATTGTGTGTGTGCGTCCAGTGAAATAGATCTATGGGGAAATGCGCCAAGGAGACAATTCACCAATCTGCTACTCCAGACGACGAAATCAAAACTCGCCGGAGAGGACTCGCCGCTACCTCCCAACCGCTTCGCCGGAATCCAACTCTGGCGGCAGATCAGGGCGCTAGGGGTAGTTAAACCACCGCAATAGCAGTAAAATGGAGAACGAACCTGTAAAATTAAATTGAAAAAAAAATCAAGGATCCTGGGCCTTGGACATGACAGAGAGACGGCTGGGCCTGGGCTCGAAGGCCGCTCTCCTCCTTTGCTGATGAGAACTGGGCCGAATAAGCGCGGTTAGGGCACGTTTCACCCACTCACCCTCCACGCCTCCGATCCTCACAAGCGAGTTCTTCATCGCGGATCTGCGCATATTGAGGCGATTAGAGGGGTAGGAATCCGCGTGGTGGTTGTTGCTGGCAGTGTTCTTGTGTAGGCTGCATCGGAAAGAGCCAGGGTGTGTAGTAGGGGAACACATGCAGGTTTTCTTGTGGCCAGAGATGGGACGGCTGTTCTTGGTGATGATCTGGTTGGAGATGGAGCGGTTGGGGGAGATGGAACGGGGGTCGATCGAGAAGCGTACGGAAGATGAAGGAGGCGTGGGTGAGTATAGATTAACACGTGTAGGGGAAGCGGCACGGTGATGAGAGTGGTGGTTTGTGTGGGAGTTTTGGTGACGAGTGTTGGTGAAGAAGGTGGAGGAAGGAGAGGAGAAGGTGGAGCCTGTGGAGGAAGCAAAGGCTGAAGAAGGTGAAGAGAAAGGGGTTTTGGATGTGGTGTAGGAACAGAATCTGGTGGAGGGTGAGAGAGAGCGTAGAACGGGTCCACTTGACTTTGTTCTGGAAGATGAGGAAGCCATTGAAAGAGGGAATAAGGAAAGGATAGAAAAAGTAAGAGAGAGAGGGAAGAGGATTGGTCTCTAAGGACCCCTATGGGGAATTGGTTTGGCAAACCTAGCGAGTCTCGGAGGCCGGTTTTAAAGATGGGGAGTCTGTGAGGGTGAAGAGTTATTAGCCTCCAAGGGAAGGGGTTTTTTCGACCTATCTGTTCTAGTTAATTAACTTAACCAGGGTTGAGTGGGGGTTAGTTCTGTGAGAAGTAGAACAGAATGAGGGTTATGCTTAGGATCGGAATCCAACGGCTGGTGTGATGCGGACTTCTGATAACGATGGCAGGTTGAGCCGTTGGTCGAGTAAGGTTCCTAGAAAAGCGCAAAGGCTGACACGTATTGAATTATAGGGAAACGGTCGAAGGCGAATGTACCAGAAAGCCACTCCTCCCTTGTCGGTAATTATTGTGTCATTCGCTTCGCCACTTTTTTTTCCTTTGAAGATTTCACGTATGTTACCGCGAGTGGGTCCTTCACTCTAGACTCTCCCATCAAAATTTTATCTGCGTCCAGAATAAAAAAATGCTTTTCAATCAGAAAAATGTATTTAATAAATTTTTAATATTTATTTATTTTTAGCAGCCCAAGACGTTAGTTAGTAAGACTCGTATATAATACTGATAATTAATTAAAAACTATTAAAATATGTTTTCAGAATTACTATAAAAGTTAACAATTTTATTATGAAATTTTTTACTTAGACTAAAATTATATTTTTATTAATATATTTATATCTTTATCAAATTCATATGATTGGTGAAATATGGGATATTTTTATGTCCACAGAACTAATATTTTGTTGATAAGATATTTAGAATGATTATTCTATAAGTTCAGATTTTATCGTATATGGTTAATCCTAGTTAAAAATACACAAAAAAGCTGCAATTTAACCTAGTAACTTAACTTACTGTTTATGAAAAAATTATTTCAAATAGTCAAGGCATATAATTGTGATAATACACCTTTATAAGATATTTTATTCTTCATCTCTGATTTCATTTTGTAAACAATTTAGTTTACATCAAATAAAAAATAATATAATATTTTTTATACTTTCTTTCATTACTTAGTATACCTCTTTGAAATATAATTATGGAAAAAGAATGTAAATTCAAACTCTAAATACTAAAATATACTTTTATATAACATTATGAAATTATGTATAAAATTAATCTCATTTATATATAATATACACGTTTATGAATTAAATTTAAAATACAAATTAAAAAATAATAATAATAAAGTAACATAAAATAAATAATTAAAGATAAAAAATAAATATAAGATATCTAATACTCTTAAATTGGTGGATATAAATTGTATGTGTTAAAAATTTCTTACAAATATAATCAATTATTGGTTTTCGTAAAGACTTCATAAAAATATTTTCTAATTGGTTGCTTGACTTAACGAACTCAACCTTGATATCTCCATATTCTCATAGTAAAATAAGTTCATCAGTGGCTAATGTCAAGGAGATTCAATATACACATATCTCCACACTCGTAAGATATTGTCCGCTTTGGTACCATTCCAAAAGGTTTCTTAACAATAGAGATATCTTATGTGTATATAAACTCATGTTCAGATCTTTTTTTATCCGATGTGAAACTTTGTTTGGACCAACAGCTAAATGGGGTGTGTGTTTTCTTTCACCTAAATTTAAATATAAATTCATCCAAATAAATAATGTATTAATTCAGAAACTCAGTTACTATTACTTAATTGTATTAAACATATTTTAATTTTTTTATATTTTTTATTAAATAATGATATAATAATAATAAATGTTATTAGTAGAATTTCAATTGATAAAGGAATGTTTTCAAATAAGAATTCCATTATTGATTATGTGAATTTTGGTATGACAATCATGATGGAAGAGAAATATTCATCTTTTATGTATGTTTAAAGCCTCTTATTATTATTTTTTTTTAGGAATGAATAATGTATGGCAATGTTATAGTAAAAAACAAGCATATATATATATATATATATATATATATATATATATATANATTGTAGCCTTGAAAAAATCATAAAGATTTGTCGTTAAACAATTTGCCTTTGTAAAGAGTTGAGTCATTGACATATTCACTTTCAGGCAAAAAATTCATTCAAGATCTCTTCAATTTCATCATCCTCACTAACCTCTCTAACTTCATGCATATGTTGAATCATCATCTCTAAAAAAACCCTCTCCGCCAATTACCAATTCCTTCGGATGTTATGCTTGTGAAAATTAGATAAAATTATATACGACAAAAATTATAAAATGAAAACTCATTATAAAATCATTTTTTGTAAGAAATTGTTTAATAACGAGTGTTTCGGATTTTTTCCAGGCCAATTACCAATTCCTTTGATGTCATTATACTTGTGAAAATTAGATAAAATTAGATAAGACAAAAATTATAAAATGAAAACTCATTATAAAATCATTTTTTTTATGAAATTGTTTAACAACAATGATTTTTTATTTTTTGCAAGTCAATTACCAATTAACTTATGCTTGTGAAAATTGGATAAAATTAGATAAGACAAAAATTATAAAATGAAAACTCATTATAAAATCATTTTTTGTAACATTGTTTAACGTCAATGTTTTTTATTTTTTTCAGTTGGATTACAAAGAAAATGTTGGAGTGAAAGAGATGAAAGAGAAAGGGTTTCTGGCTTTCTTTCTTTTTTTGGTTTTGAGAATGAAAATTATTAAAATACTCTTAACCTTAAGACTTATGAGCTTAGATATAAGGATATTTTTGTCTACTATAAAATCCGGTACACATTGTTAAAATGTACCAAGTGAAAAACAGGCGTACACGCGTTTGTGTACCGGATTTTAGTAGACAAAAATATCCTTATATACTCATGATTCTAAGTTTTAAGGTTAGGGGTATTTTAATAATTTTCATTCTCAAAATAAATAAAAAAAAACCCCAAACCCTTAGTCACCTTTCTCAATCCTCTCAACCCTTTCTCTTTCTCTTTCTCTGTCATCACTACTGTAGCTCCAGAAATGTCGTTAAACAATTTGCCTTTGTAAAGAGTTGAGTCATTGACATATTTACCTTCAAGCAAAGGTTCATTCAAGATCTCTTAATTTCACCATCTTTACTAACCTATATAATTTCATCATCTGTATATTTTGAATCCTCACCTCTAAATAAAATTAAATAAAATTAAATAAAATTAAATAAAATTATATACGACAAAAATTATAAAATGAAAACTCATTATAAAATCATTTTTTGTAAGAAATTGTTTAACAATGAGTGTTTTTTATTTTTTCCCGGTCAATTATCAATTCCTTGTTATTATGCTTGTGAAAATTAGATAAAACAAAAATTATAAAATTAAAATCATTTTTTTTGTAAGAAATTATTTAACAGTGAGTATTTCTGATTTTTTACATATCAATTATCAATTCCTTTATGCTTGTGAAAATTGCATAAAATCATATAAGACAAAAATGAAAACTCATTATAAAATCTTTTTTTCTAAGATTGTTTAAGAGCCCGTGTTTCTGTTTTTTTTTCAGTTGAAATAGTTGAGAAGAATGAGGGACATGAACAAGAATTTAAGATTTCTATTCTTTTTAGTTTTGAGAATAAAAATTATTAAAATATCATAACCTTAACTTAAAATCTTTAATATATAAAGTTATAGGAAAAAAAAGTAAACAATAGGTATAAGATTAGGTCGATACGAATCTAATCTTACTTGGAAGAATAAGAAAATAGCCACTGTGTGCACATAATATTTAGTTGTTGTAGTAAGAAAAAATAGAGAAAACTTTATTTCAACGTAAACGTGTCTATTCAGAACAAATAAGTAGAATGGGCTGTTATAAAAAGTCTTAAAATCTCTTTAATTAATAAAATAACTAGTTAAAAAAAAGTATAGCTCACGCTAAGGCGTGTACGGCAACTTTAAATTTATATCAGACCTTTAAATGTAGACACGTAAATTTATATTAGACCTTTAAAATCCACATAACTTTTTGCTGTTTTTAAAAATAATTAATCGAAACAACTAGCATGAAATATCCAGAACAATTTTCAATAATGTAATAATGATTTATGAGATATACAACATATATCATAAACATAACTTGATTATATTTTATCAAATCAAACTTTTTTCCCTTAAATATTAAATTTAGAGTCAATATTTCGTATGCTTATTTTATGTTTTCTTGTGAACTCTTTATTATTTTATTCTTATATATATATATATATATATATATATGAATAAATAAATACCCAAAATTTAATAGCTTTTTAGGCTATATAACGAGTTTACTTAATATATCTTCTTTCATTTTTTTAAAGTGAAAAATAATTAAACATTGAATGAATGATAATGATATAGAAATAAAAAAACAATCAGTATTGTTTTAAACTTCAAAAATTATGTATAAATAAAAACGAAAATTATCTAAAACTTAATAATTTAATTATAACAAAAAAAAAAGAAAAAAGAAAACAGTAGCGAACAATAAAAAAGCATTAATAACAATATTGGTTGATGAGTATGTAACCATATAACTGAGTTTGTGTTTGAATTTAAGAGGATATGACCTTCTCCACCCTCAAACAAGTGTTCCTAGCTGTTTTGTTAGACTAATTCAGATTGGTCGGTCTTCAAATTCAAATTTTCAACTATTTGACTTCTTACTTTATGCCAAATTTTTAACACCACGTTCTGAAAAAACATAGCATATGACTTTTTTCTATATTTATAACACGGAAGATACTATTTTTTTTTTAAAAAAAAAGAGATACTAACAATTTATATTTTCTAAAAAAATTCACATGAATGGCTTCGTTTGTTCAAATAAAGTAAAAAGTGACGGGTAGGAAAAAAAAATCTTATTTGATTGTAAAAAATGGTAAAGAAATATCTTTTTTATTAAGTTTATATATTTTATTTTTCACTCACCTCACCAGATAAAATAAGATAATTTTCCATATTCATATATTAAATATATTTCAAAAATAATATTACTTTATTAAGATAATTATGTAATCTTCACACCGTTATCTATAACCACTTTAATTGAGAT